TGGTTTTCTGTGGCACGCTCGATGTATTCTGAAAAGCAATCGATACCAAAACAGATCAATGATCTCATTTGCATACGGCACAAAGCTGCCAAATGTGAAACATGCCAAAGAGCATCCAAATGCCGCAAGGTGGAAATCAATTTTTGAGGCTTTCAATCAAAATCAGAAATGAAAAAAAATAACCGACAACGACAACAACAACAAACCTGTGGCATTTTGCACAACGAGAAACGAATAATTATACACTGCAGTTGGGCATGATCAAGAGATACCCTACAAAAAGCGAACCTGTTGGCAATTTTAACATGATTTGAAGCATTCCAAAATAAATCAGAAGATCCATTACTTGGGTAATAATTTAATGAATGTAGGTCTCTCAGATTAAATTTAGCATTTTACTCTGATGGAAATATATTGCAGTTCTCCATGACCCTGGTATCTAAATCCTATTAAGCCAACACATTTCCATTGGAATGTATATGCGTAAAGCAAATCAAATAAACAAGATTGATAAAATAACTGCTCGATCTGCCCTGGTTACACATTTTGGCCCCATTTCGAGTGTTCTTTATAGGGTATAATTAAGACGAAACTGTGTAACTAAATGATCAGCTCAGTTGGAAGACAACGGACAAATCGAACGCATAAATTAGTCAGAAATAAGCGCGAAAACGTGTTTTAAATTTTTGTTTTCATTTCACGCGCGCGCGAGGCAAAGAACGAAACGAAACGAGACGAGACGAACCGAAACGAGACGAAATGAACGACGAACGCTCATGTCAGTATTTGTCAAAGTTTTTGGCAGTGATTAATGCATTTATAATTAATTTATTGTATACACACACTCGCACATACACACTCGACACACGCACACACTCATGCAGTGGAACAGATATGGTGGCTAAGGAGAAGGCATTTCCAGCTATTTTCTGTCATGACATAAGTTCAAAACTGGAACTCAGCATATCGAATACAGAATTCGGCTGGCATTGTCGTTTGGACCCCCTTTTTTTTGGCAAGCCTTTAACCTAATTTCGGCAGAAATATTTATATTGAGCAGCCAAATGATTGATGATTGCTGATTGGCGCAGGACAATGGGCCAACTAAATTTTCGCAAGTCACTTCAACGGACGGCGTCGGCAAATGTTTGAGGCACGTTTTTGAGGATCTGTGCCCAAAAGTCACATACATTAGAACGCATTAAAGTGTAACCAAAAAGGGGCGATACCCTGTCCAAGGCAAGCAATTCAATGCTGAAAGGATGCGCGAGCATTTCTGCAGAAGGAGAAGCAGCAGCAACAGGAACAGCGGCAGCGAGTTCCATAACAAACAAATCAAGCAAACAATTGCAAGGGATTATCTGTTGCTCAGCAAGGATTAGCTAGGACATCAGGGCATACACAGCGCACACACACACACACACACAAACACGCCATATGCAAATGTCACAAACAGTTTGAAAATTAAAGCATGAAAATTTGTCAAAGGCAACCAAAGCGAATGTCCTTTTGTGTGCGTGGGTGTTGTCCTGCCAAAAAAGGTAGCTCAAAGGGCAACCGCAAGAGCAACCGCAGCGCCGAAAATCACAGAGAGAAAAACTCTCCAGATATCTATGCACATTTGCAACGACTTCTTGTGCCTTGCACGCAACGTAATGGGTTTAAACACCCCCTGTTAAAGACAGACTCAGACAGTCACAATTGCAATCCTCGATTCTCAGTTTCGTTTTCGGGGCGTTGACTGTAGCAGCCCGCAGTGTTTCGACTTCGATTTCCTTCCTCTTTCGTGCTGCGAAAAAGGGTTAGAAAACAAACACATGATAACGAGTTGCGGGTTTTTGCGGGTTGCCATATCATAAAACTCGACAAATTGGATTAACTTCTGTAAAGTTTTTCAGTTAGTGGGAATATTATTGGTGCTGATGCAGCGATAGTTGCTGGCGTCACGCCCCTAATGAAACAAGAACTTGGCGAACATCTGCCAATGTTTCATTGTGAACCAAGCGATCGAAATGTGACTTTTGGAAAGGGGCAAACAATAGAAATTTCTAGGTAGAAACTATGATGGTAATATTTTGAAAAGGAAAGGAGTAGTGAAATAACAAATGAACGAAATGACTATGTATATACTTATCAATACAAAATATCTATATACAATTATATTTACTAGACGAGGGCAAATGCTTAGATATTTGTACTACTTATTGTTAAGCAAGGATATTTGGCAATGCATTTCTAAAACAGCTCAAATAATTCATTCAAACTTTATTTAATGGGGAATTTTCTGTGACATTCCTTTATCGACTCGTTTTTTAGAGAAATTCTTAGCAGTTTCTCACAATCGAATTTACATTAGTTAGCTTGTTTCGATAAACAGCTCATTAGCTAAAAATATAACAATAAATACGAGCGACTTTATGTTACATTCATCTTTTAACTGGCAATTGGAGGATCTGCAAAGGCAGCAGGAGACATGCTGAACAAGTGTTTCTGGTGTTTCAAGTGTTTCTAGTGTTTCTGTTGTGGGATAGTGCTGTTTACAATGCAACTAATATCATAAAATGTCTTATGGCTATCAACAGATAACGCATTTAACGATCAATACTATGACAGCTTGACAACTGCAAATGGCTAAAAGATGGCGCTGCTACGTGGCCAGACGATGAGGCGGTGGGGCGGGCAGCCAGATGTCAATTTAACACCGTTAGCAATGGGGAAGTTAACCCAAACTAACTAACTAACTAACAAACTCGCGTGAGTGTTGCCCCAGCCAACGGCAATTGAATCCAGTTCGTGCGCATGCAAAAACAACGCTAGCAGAGCTAACGTGAGTAAAAGGGGTGGCAGTGGGCTGGAAAAGCGGTAAGGGGGGCAACACACAAGTATCGATCGATACATAGCAACAGTTGAGCTGCATAAATAGACCACGCCCACGTGCGACGGCTGGCTGGCAAAGCTGATCCGCCGAGCTGCTACACATGCAAACACACACACGCGAGCGCACTCACACACACATAGCCACTCGCCTACATGATCAGTCGTCACTCTCATTGATGTGCGGCGCTCTCATTTGTATATGACGACTGCATGTATGCACATGTGTGAGTGTGTGTAAGCTGTGCTCTGCATTGGTCAATGAAATGAGTAAATAAGTTCGCGTTTAGTCGAGCAAAGCGGCGCTATATAGTGCGCACTCCCTCTAACCAATGCAATAGCCAGCTGCTCTCTATATTTATAGAGCGACACGACAAACGAGCGATCGTGCCGTCTCAACTGCATGGTTGTGTGTCGTGTGTGTATGTGTGTGTGAGTGCGCTGTTATACTGGTTTATAACCAGGTGCTCCGATTGTGTTAATCGAGCCAATCAAATGTCGTAACGCTTGCCCAGCGAAAGAGAGAGAGAAGCAGAGAGCAGCTGCCGTTGCGCTCAGCTGTTAAGATCTAAATACAAAATGGAGTGAGAGCGAGCGCGCGCATGCGCAACCCCGTCACATATTGAGTGAGTTTTTGCCGCCTTGCTGGCAGTAACAGCGCATAATATTTGTGTATTCATGTGAAGAATACACAACAGCGCTGTTAAGCGTTTACATTACAGCGCACTGTTAACTCTTAAAAGCACTCAAAGCTGCACGCGCGTGCTCTCTCTCCCACTCTCCGCTATTGAGTAGCTGCTCAAATGCTCTCTTCCAGCCAGACGTAGCGCAACCACCGTTAGAGAGCACGTCTTCTGCTAGGTTTTGTTTGCCTTTTGAGACAACCAGTTTGTAGTTTTTGTTTATAGCAGTAGCTTCTTCCCATTGTTGTTGTTGTTGTTGCTGCTGTTGCTGTTGCTGCTGCCGTGTGGTAGCCGAAGCCGAACCCCGGCTGTCGCTTCGTATTCGCGCCGCTGATTGCAAAGCATCTCAGAGCTCGTGAGCATTTTGCAGAGGCCTCCGAGTCAGCAGCCGCAGCCGCAGCAACAGCAGCAGCAGCCGTTGCCGCTACCAGGTGCGGTTCGGTATTTCGTAGCCGGAGCATTTTGCAGAACTGTTTAACATCAGTCTTTAGTGATAGCTCGCGCTTCTTGCTCGCACGCTCGAATCGCATGTCGCACGCTCGCACGGCTGCGTCGTCGGCTTTTTAACGATTACAACTGAACGTGCGTTCTTTATCGATAAACGGTTGTCGCTTTTTCATCGATATATATCGCGCTTGACTACCACCATCCCGCCCAAGTATGCAAATCTGCAAGTGACCCCAATAACAGTCCAATTAACAGTTAAGAAGTTAACATAGAGTGCCGCAAGTGATTTAGATTTCACACCTTTAACACACACACACACACTCGCACACACATACATGATAGGCATAAAAAAAGAAAACAGAGGCGCGCACTTGTTCGCCATTTGCCCAGGCCAAGTCCAAGTGCCTTTTCACCAAATAAAGGTGTGGCCTAAGCCAAACAACAACAACAAAAACAAATGCACTTGAGAGTCAACTGAACGAACACACGTCAAATATAACTCATCTTTCACTATGTTCTATATAAATTAGACGGCAGCAAATTGAATGGTTACACACATGCACACACACACATACCGAGTGTACTATATACACACACACACACAAAGGCACACTAATGCAGGGAGCGTAACGAACGCGTGTTTGTGTCAGTTCTAAAGTTAAGATCGGTATATGTATGTGCCTGCGTTGCTGTAAGCATGTGTATATGTACAAATATATGGCTGAGCTTCACGCTCGTCTAAAGTTCTAAAAGTCAAGTGCAATTTAGCAACGACAAACAACAACAACAATTGCTAAAATACTATACGCTCAAGTGACGTTTTATTGGCGCAAGGTGAAAAAAATAGTAATAATAAAAAAATAAAAAATAGAAATAAACGACCGGAGAGTTCACAATGTGCACACATAACAAACAACTTAAATGATTTTTCGATTTTGCCGTAACGCAAAAAAAACAAGAAAAAAATTTAAAAAAAAAACAAATAGGAAATACTACAACAACAACAACAAACTGCAGCTCAGTGCGCTATGAAAATTTGTAACTGAAATACGTGAAAAATCAACACACGGAACGCAAAAAGCGCCGAGTGCATCGCATCGCAGCTTATTCAAATTTGGATTAAGAAAAACTATTTAAACTGCTTTTCGGTGCAGTTCAAAGGCTCACAATTCTTTTTAAGGTATGAGAGATGCTTCGTTTTGTAATTTCTTAGTCTTCTTTTATGGGGATGCTAAACAGAACCAGAAACTTTGGACTCATTCATAATTTGCCAGGCGGGCCAGCTAGAAAAATGAATAGCTCGACAATAAACAAAAACTAAAAGCTACTATCAGCTATTAACATAACCATAATACGACTTAGAGCTGAGGAATCGCAGCCTGGCGATAAATTTTGATTGGAAGTTTGTTGGGGCTGAGTTACGAATGAAACATACTCATGCGAACGAATTGAGATACATTCATCATACATAAATAAAAAAAAAAAGATGCCATGGCATAAAAATCAAACATGTGAATTTCATTAACGTAAAAATTCAAAAAGAAAACAAAACACGAGTAGAAGATGGCGAGCAGATAAAAGGCAAAACGGACAAACTGACTGACAATTGAGGATTGGTATACATGGTGAGAAAGCTGTCCGTTTTGTTGGACAGTGCATTTTTTAGTGTGGTCATAAAACAGCCACCAACAACAACAACAACAACATCAGCAGCAACAGCGACAACTGAAATCGACAAGGGCAGGCAAATAAACTTTACGACTATGTAACAGAATCAATGTAAGCCAAAAGCTCACACACTGTTCAAAACTGCACCCAAGCAATAATAGTTGAAAATAGTTATTAATAAAAATATGCTGCAATCTTATTTTTTCAAAATTAAAGGCTAGAGAGAGAGATAGATTGGCTTTGCTCATTATGTAGAAGCCCTATATATGCTCTTCCATGCTCTTGAATTCATATACTAAACATTGCTTAAAGTATTTGTGATATTTTCATAGTTATGTGACATATATTTAGGTGCTCTATATACACAAATAATATAAACTTAATTGCAAAATTCAGACTTTACTTGAGATTTCCTCGAATACTTTATTTTATCAGCCAATTGCTGCAGTTTTCAGTCTTTTTTTACAGTGTATTAACAGCACATATTTGCTTTATAAGGTAAAAAGCGTGTAAAGCTTTATTTGCTTAAATTTGTTACACAAAACTTCGAACTATCGACTAGCCTAGAATTGTAATCAAAGAATTTGCCTTTGTAGACGTAGATGACTTGGATGCCGCTTGCATGTGTCGCAAATATTGACAATTGCCCCACAGTCATTACAAGTGATTTGTGGGCTTATGTTCTGCAAAGTGTGCACTTAACATGCTATGCATAACCAATGCAAAGCGGGTATATTGGTTAAACATTAGACAGGTGTGGAAACGAGCGCATCAAAGTTTCGGCAGAGCAAGTCGAATTAAAGCCTTATACAGAGCTAGCAAAAGAGCAACCAATTGTAGTAAAATTTATATATTTATTTTAAATTTGATTGCATAAGAATTGTTTAAATGATAAGAGTACACAAGTTACTGTAGAACACGTAGCATACTTTTTAGAGTGTGCCAATAATTGGGTGAATTCAAAGAAAAAATTGAAAATCTAAAGACATTAATGATATACATATAAAAATAATTAAATTAAAATTAATTAACAAAATCGTCTGAAAGGAATCTGCCACCTCTGTTGCATGTTCGCTATTAAAAACCTTCAGTTTTGAAATAACTACAGGGTAGTTGTCAGCAGAACCAATTTAAATCGTTGATTTTTAGTACCAACGCAAAAAGTTTGTTGCCTAAGTCTTTTGTTTAACTGTGAGCTCCTAACTAAATCATAAAAGCAGAGTGTTTAGTCTTGTTGGCCAGGTGTTTGGATGGATACTGCACGACAAATTAACACATCAAGGTCGTTGTTGCGCATTTGCAACTGTTGCTGCTGCTGCTGTTGTTGTTGCTTCTGCAACAGCATCCTTATGAAGGCAAGCCGGAAGACAACAATTGCTGCTTCCTATTGCACTCACGGTTGAAGAGGGAGACAAAGTGTGAAAGTATTTAGTACAAACGTGTTAACTTGTGCACATATTAAATGCAAATGTGGCAGCCGCAAGCAATAACAACAAAAACAACAGTAAACACAAGAACAGCCAACACCTGTTGGTCACACATGGTAAGACAGTTGACCAGGACCGCCAACTGACCGACTCACTGCAGTTGCTGGACTCCCCCCAGAGCGACAAGCCACAGAGCATCTTCTTACCTTTCAGCTCAAATTTGGAGCAACAGCTTTACCATACTTTACAATTAACATTTAAGGCGAACACAACGGACATAAATTGTGTTTATGGGTGCAGCAGCATTTGCATTTTATATTGTAATAAATATTGAAATTATGATTATTACTTGGCATACTTCAAAGCCAAATGGCAGCAGCTATAAAGTCTTCTGTTACCATCTAATTTATCATTGAAATATATTTTTATATACATACATATATATATATATATTTATTTATTTATTTATTTGTTGTCCTCTCTTACAGCACACTGTATTGAGCTCAAGAGCTCAACGTTAAAGCATCTCCAATGATGAATCAGGATAATCCGTATGCGGTAAGTCAAGCTCAAAAGTTCCCGCTTAATATTATAATATATGACGAATTTATAACAAGTCGATTTAGCTGCCTGTAAGCTCAGCCGTAAAACGACGCATATTTTAACACGAAACCCCACGCATGATATATGCAGAGCGCCAGGTTTACAATAAAACGAAATAAGCACAAGGGTATAAAAAGCCACAACGATTATGTTGGGTGAGCCGACGATAAAATACCCCTTTGCTTGAATTGAAAAGAATCACAAAATGTTAGCAGGATACACAAAGTTTAAGCAAGCTTGACAAGGATGAGTTTTGGTCGTAAAATCAAATGGGTTTTCTGCAAAAACTTAAAAGGTTAACTAATTCAGATATTCCTAGCTAGCATAAACCAAGCTCCAAATAAGTAAGAGTAGAAGGAGTAGTTGCAATATGAATATTTATTGTTATCAGTCTGACATATGAGATGGTTTACAGAATCAGTTAGGCTCAGCTTAGTGCACTTCATAAGCCGAATATTTGGCAAGAGCTACTTTATAGAGTCAGAAATGCAACTGTAAATGCGCGTCAAAATTATAGGGTATACAAATTGCATACTTAACAAGTTAAAAAGTGGAGAAACTGATATAAAATCAGCTAAATATGTTTGTTTTACGAGTTGCACAGCCAAAAGCCATATTAAAACAATTTAAAAGCACAGGTAATATTGATATATAATACACGTGCATTTGATAACAAAAGAAATTAACAAAAATGATAGCTGCTGTTTTTTGTTTATGTATCATTGATAAGATAAAGGCAATGAAAATTTGAAATCGAAATCAAATACTAATATCGAAAACAAAAGCGCTTCCGCATCTCGCAATTGGGCGCAAAAATTTATGAATTATGAGCTTTTGGAAGCCCGTGCATAATTACCCAACATTTATGGAGGGAGAGAAAAATTCATGATAAAACAAAAACCTAGAGAAAAAAAACCTAAACCAGTTTACACAACAGCTTGAGGCGAAAATATTTAAATGATGTCATAATTTTTAGAAAAGAAAAAAAAACACATACTATGTATAAATATAATAATCATAATACACACTACACACACACGCACACACACACTTCAATGCTGTTTGATCTTCATAAATGGCAGCTGCGACCGCTTCACCTGTTTTTACGAACTTTGATTTTTTTTCGTGTTTTTTTTTTTGACTTCATGTCAACTTAAATTAATGCAGATCAATTAGTTAATATTATTAAGCGGCTCGAATGCTAAAAACTGCGTATTTTAAATAGATTTCTATACAGAAATTTCGAATGGGTTCAAAACCACGTAAGTTGTTGCTAACATGGCACTAAATGTCAATATTTGAATATTAAATTTTATTTAAGTGCGTTTTTTATGATCCTAAGCCGATTTTCGTTTTACTCCAAAACAGTCGGCGGCAACAGCGGCTCGGCCCCTAGAAATTAGGTTGCCAAAGAGGCGGGCCTGCCATAGTGTTAATTAGTTGAAATGTGAGACGATAAACTAAATGTTTAATTTAAATGAAGCTACCAACAAGAACAAGAACACTTTAACGATTCGGCTACAGATTTAGTCAGAGTTCAGAAATATGTATGAGCAATAAGGGGAAACTGCGATTATGATATATGAGACAAATAGATGCTGAAAAAGTTATAGCCTGTTTTTTTTTTTTTATTGTAAATACCTTTGAGCCCTTTTATGCCATTGTAGATATAAGGCATTGAAGTGCATTTAATCATACGCTGTTTGCTCTTATAGAAGCTATATAGTAGAGGCATTCGAAAAGCTTCTACAATCTTTAATTTAATTAAAAAAAAAAAAACACGAAAACAGAAGCAAATTTTTAAACGGTTTTTTATATAACTTTAAATGTTATGCCAAGTCGATATTGGTTAATGACAACTCTATCCCTCTCTCTCTATCTATCTATCTATATATTTATCGTGAATAAGTTAAAAGAAATTGTTTCTTATACAAGAACTAAATTATTTCAGCTTTATAAAAAAAGTATACAGAAATAATGTAGCTTTAATAGAAAAATGCGTTATATACGCATATAACAATAACAATACAATACAACATAGTCCATTATATCTCTTTAATAAAAAATGGCAGTGCTTGCTATTTGTTGACTAACTATTTTTAATCTAAACTTTTATTCCTCTGTGCTTATACACAAAGAAGCTGCCTACGACAGACAACATTATTGGCATAATCTGCAATTTAACTAGTTGTTGCTGTTGTAGTTGTTGTTTCATTAATTTGAATCAAAATCCGTTTTAAGTATCTTAACCAGCAATTTAATTGCACTACAACTTTGTTAGCTAAAGCTGTTGCTAGTATTGTTGTGAAGAGTCTAATTTTGTTGCTAATCAAACGTAAATGTTTATAGTTGTGAACTGCCACGCCCCTACGGTATGGCAAACAAAAGACTTAGACAACGAACTTAACAACTGGTGAAAATCAACTAAAATTCATATTGGCAGGTACAGAGAAACGCATTACAATGTTGAGTTGTGTGTGCGAGCGTATGCTGTGTGCAGATGTGTGTGTGTGTGTGCGCGTGTGTGAGGCCTGGCCGGACACTTGACTTGGAATTGACTTGGTGGCTTACAGCCGCGCAACATCAGCGGTGGCTTACAGTCAAATGCACTTCGACTCCGTCGCACGCATCTGCAACTCCATTTGCAGCTCCAACTCTTTGGCATCTTTTCTATTTGCATTGGACGAGGCTGCTGCCAGTTGCTGCGAGTTAATGCTGATGCTGTTGATGCTGATGCTGCTGCTGCTGCTGGTGCAGCTACCGCTGACCATTTTGGTCATAAACATTTGCGTAATGGATTTTTTCATATTTTGTTGGCCGCTGTGAACACACAAAGTAAATTAATTACGAGCTGCGGCGGCGGTGGCTCTGGCAACATATTTGCACGTTGGAAAATTCTTGCTGCAGACAAAAAGTTATAAATGCCTAAAAATAAATAAGCCAAAGCCATGGCTAAACATGGCCAAAATGCAAAAACAGAAGCACAGCTAGCAAATTAGCAAAAGCCCAAAAAGCATTTGCCGCGCTCCAAACACACACAAACATACAAAATGTAATTACAGCAACTAACAGCAGCAACAGCAACAGTTGTTGTTGCTGTTGTTGTTGTTTTTGTTTGAGTTGTTGTTGTTGCGGCTGCTTGCAATTTTTGTTGGTTTGCGGTTGTAGCCATAGCCGGTTGCAATTTTTCACATGCGTAGCCAGTTTTGTTAGCTCTGGAGGAGCTGTAAAAGTTGTTCCGTCTCATTTGGTTGTTGTTGTTGGTGTTGTGGGACTCCTTGTTGGAATTTTTGCTCGTGTGGTGTACATGTTGCGGTTGATAACTCAATTAGAATGTTAAATTTATGTTCGCCACAAGAAATTAACTTGCAATTAGAAAATGCTTGCAACAAAACGAAAGACTTAGGACACGAACTTGATATGGTAAAATTTGTTAAGAATAAAAGAAGATAAAATGAAAAAAAAGAGAAAAAAGCGAGACTTAGTGCAGTCAGCATCGCACTTTGTAATTAAGTTACAAAGCGCATGAAGTAAAAGAAAACAAATTGAAATAATTTAACAAATGGACAAACAGGACAGACAATGTTGCAGCTGATGATTTGTGTTGCATAATTGGCCAAACAAGTTATAGGGCAGCCCGAAGTCGACTTGGCGCGCCCCAGCTCGCCTCGCCTCGCCCCGTTTCGTTTCGTTCCGTTTCGTTTTGGCTAGACAAGTCTATTGGCCTGGCCAAAAACTAATGATGATGATGCACTGCACGCATTTGCACTATTTATAATTTCGTGAAGGCAGCCAGCAATGCACAAGGCACAAGGCGCAGGCACTGTCTGCGGCGCATGTGTCTGGCGAGTGCCAAAAGATCAATGATCAATCCTGAAGCTAGAGTGAAGCTCAAGCTAGAGCTTGGGCTTGATGACTCTACTAGAGAAGTGAGTTTCATGGCTGGCAGCGCGCAGACAACTTCATTTATTTGCAGATACATTTCAGGCGCCCCAAAATGCAGCCAGCGTCTCATCCTGTGGCAGACATCATTTGGAGTCCACTTTTTTTTTTTTGTGCCTTTTGGCAAACAACTCTTTGATTTGGTGGGTTGTGCCTCATGTTGTGCATGTGTGTGTAATCAGTTCCATACGGCAAAAGCGAGCAAGCGATTTTCTTTGATGATTTATGCGCGAAATTAGCGAACTGAAAGTCGTTGCAACATACAAATGTTGCACAAATGACTCAGGCAACGAACTTGAACGAACTTAAGAACAATTACACTAGTTTTAAAAAGCGCACACTTCCTCTGCTCCGCCTCAAAGATGCTGGCCAAAAGCATATGCATCAGAAGTCATTATATCCGCCCGCCGTAACTAGCGCTACAAACAACAACCGGCTAACCTTGACAAAATCCTACACAGCTGAATGCATTAGTAGTTCAAAAAAGCAAAAAAACCAACAAAAACAAGAGAGGGGCAGCAAAAAAAACTAACTACTTACAGGCAAAGCAAAGTACCGACAAAGTACCGAAAACAAAACGCTATTAAACTTCTATTATTTAAGTACCACATTGTGCACTGATACTGAAAACGAAAACGAAACGAAACGAGACGAGACGAGACGAAACGAAACGAAACAAAAACGAAGAAGACCAAAAGCGACCCGGTCAGCAAAACGATAATGAGGCAGCATTGTGCTGAGTCCAAGTCTCGCCCGACTCCCCATCCCTCGCCAATACCTAGTGCTCGAATCTCGGGTACTGTACTGTCGACTGTAGCTAACAGAGCATAAATCCCAAAGCCAAAGTACTTTGCAAATTATGCAATATTATGTAATTATACAGACAATCAGCTGCCTCAACAGGGTAGGGGGAGCGACAGAGGGGCGACTTGGCAAAACGCAGCGAACTCTTAAAGTTCGTTTTTTATTTACCTTTTTTTATGTGTGTGCAAAAGTTGAAATGTGAAAATGAT